GAGACAGGATTAATATGTGTATATATATATATATATATATATATATATATCTGAAAAAGAACTAAGGAAGAAATCAAAAAGCCCAATCCACAATGGGTTAGCTGGGCATGGTGGCACAGCCTTTAATACATTAAAGAGCACTCAGTAGGCAGAGACAGGGACATCTCACTGAGTTGGAGGTCAGTCCTATCTACATAGCAAGTTCCAACCCAGCCAGGGCTACATAGTGAGAGAGACCCTGCCTCAAAAAATCCAAAGTAAGTAAATAAGTAAATTTCAAAAAAAATATTTTAAAAAATGAGCTAATAAAATGAACAGACAGTTCTCAAAAGGAGAAATACAACTGGACAAAAATCACATGAAGAAGTGTTCAATTTCACTGGCCATCATAATAATGCAAACAAAACTACATTAAGATTCCATCTTAGACCAGTCAGAATGGTAGTCACTAAGAAAACAAATAACAAATTCTGGTTAGGATGTGGGAAAAGGCAACACTTATACAGTGCTGGAGGAAATGTAAACAAGTCCAGTGACTAGGTGTTGCACTAAATACCCCCCCCCCGCCCCGAGAAACTCAGGGTCTCAAGGTTCTAATGCCAATTGATTAAAAAAAAAAAAAAAAAAAAAAACACATACCTTCTATTTGGGTTTTGCATAGTTTATGACATCTGGGAAAGGGTGACTTACAAAGGCATGAATTCTCATAGGCTTTTTCTTCCCTGTATTTGACATGCGCACACTGTCAGTGTGTCCCACCCGCTGTCTCCAGTCTCAGCCAGCTTTCACCTGTGATTCACAGCTCCGTTCCTAAAATGGCAAGGACTCCACTCCATGTTTTCAGTGTCTGTCCTTAGACCCGCCCCCACCTCATGCAAGTGAAGCTGACTGACTGGGTAGGAGGAGTGGCTGTCTTGGAGGACATGCCTACCTGACACTAGGAAAATCAGTAAAGAAATGTCTCTTATAGGCTCAGGTATTTGAAAACTTGGTCCCCAGTTGGTGGAACTGTTTGGGAGGTAATGGAAACTTCAGGAGGTAGAGACTTGATGGAAAAAATATGTTACTGGGGAGGGCTTTGAGGATCTGTGGTCTTGCCCCACTTCCTTCTCTCTGCGTCTTGTGTGCAGATGTAATTTAATCAGCCAGCCTCCTGCTCCTGCCACCATGCATGCCTTCTCCAACATGATGAATTCTCTATTCCTTTGGCACCATCAGCCAAGGTAAACTCTTCCTTAAGTTGCTTTTGGTCATGGTGTTTTATCACAGTTACAGAAAAGTAGCTAATACAGAAGTTGATACCGGAAGAAGTGGGGTTGTTACTGTGAACAGCTTAGCCCATCATTAGCCCATCATGTTTCTTTGAGAGGCATGGAAAACTTGGGACTAGAAAAAAAGTTCAGTGCTGTAAGCCAAAGTTAATAGGCTGTTTTTGTAAGAGTCTGAAGATAGTAGTGCTGAGAGTGATTGGAGAGTGGAAACATAGGTTATGAGGTTTCAGAGGGGAACAAGGACTCTATTAACAACTGGGCTGGAGGCCATTCATTTCATATTTTTGTAGACCTCTTATTCAGGCCCACAATGAACAAAGAGCAACAAGTAGGGCAAAATGAAATTCAAAAATGTGCAGTTTGGAAAAGAAAAGAACACTAGGAAGCTTAAAATTTCAGTGAAGTCAAGTGCTGAAAATGTGCCTTTAGCTCTGATTGGAAAGATAGAAGAGATGCTCTCAAGGCAAGACCCCACTCAGCTAAGGCTCCAGTTTGTAAAAGGAAAGAGCTTAATGGATTTTCTCCTAGAAAGCATACAAAGGCCAAGGGTCCATTCCAAGGTGATAGCAGAACTTGGTAGTGTCAGTCACATAGCACTGGTTTTGGAGACAAGAAAGATACAAGATTAAGTGGTCATGAATTCTTCAACCATTGTTTCAGAGAGCTGCTGCTAAGGCCATGCAAAGTGTGGCAGGCTTGGAGTACCTGTAAGGAGACTCCAAGAGGCCATTACATGAAAATGTAAAGGAGAACTCTGGTTGCAGTATCTCTACAATGTTAGAGATACCAGAACTGTGCGACATCTGCCAAGGAGATCTTCATACAGGGAATGAAACCAACCCAAGAGAGAGATGCATGTTGCAGACAGCAAATCTGGAAGGGTGGAGCCTTTTGTTTTTGTTCTTGTTTATGTTTTGAGACAGGGTTTTTCTATAGTCCCAACTGGCCTGGAACTCACTATGTAGACCAGGCTTGCCTCAATCTCACATAGATCTGCTTCCCTCTGCCTACCAAGTGCTAGGATTAAAAGCATGTGCCATCATGCCTGTCTCCCATCTAGGCCCTTGAAACTGAAGCCCCAGATATTAGACATGGAGCTACAGAATTTGGTGTTGCCTTGCTGGTCTTGTATTGATCCAATATATCTTCAATACGCCATTTCTCCTTTTTGAAATGGGAATGTATATTCTGTGCCTTTATATGTTGGAAGTATGTAATTTGATTTTATGGGGTGGGGGTCACAGTTAAGAAAGTGCCTTGAGACTCACGAGAAACTTTTGTTTTTGAACATGTTGAGACTGTTAAAAGACTATGAGGACTTTTGAAGTTGGAGTAAATGCATTTCACATTATGATATGGCCATGAGCCAATGAGGGCCAGAGGCCAAATGTGGTGGTTTGAATAAGAAATGTCCCTCATAGGCTCATGTACTTGAACACTTGATCCCCAGTTGGTGGAGCTGTTTGAGAGGTTATGGAACCTTTAGGAGGTGGAGCCTTGCTGGAGGATGTGTGTCACTGGGGGTGGGCTTTGGGAGTTTATAGTCCTCATTCCACTTCCTGTTCCTTCTCTCTGTTTCTTGTGTACAGATGAAATTTGATCAGCCAGCCTTCTGCTCCTGTCACTATACCACGACTTCCCCACCATTATGGACTCTTCCTCTGTAACTATAAGCTAAAATGAACCTTTCTTCCTTCAGTTGCTTTTGGATGCACCATTTTATCACAGCAGCAGAAAAGCAATAAAGTTAGTATGGGGGTTTCTCAAAAAACTATCAATAAGTCAAACATGGTGGACACACCTTTAG